TTTCTCTCATCTTGCTGGGAACATTCAAAGATGAAATTGCCGAAGTCTGAACTCTACCTGTAGCTAACAAAGAGAGAGGGATGTAGCTCTGCAAGGCAGAATTTATCTCACCTACCTTAGGATAGGGACAATTGTCTTTTCCCATTAACTGCAGACTTTTATTGAGACTTACAGATGCTCAATCTTTGTATGGTCGTAAAAGTTAGGTGAGAGGAACACCACACCAAGACTTGCTGGACTACAGTTGTCATAAACTGAGAAGAATTTTCTTCCACCAGCAGAGCTGCTCTGCTGGCAAGGGCCCACATGTGAGTGCAGTGATGCCAGGGCTGATGAATTTCTTCTGCCCTAAGCTGGAGCAGGTCTTCATCTCTCATTATTTGTTCTCTCATAATTTGTTCATACAATCCCCAAACTGTATGTGTCATTATTTTAATTGGGAATGGCAACCTAATGGGCCAAATGTTCTTTGATGGTCAGACTGGTGAATAACGGGATACACAGTGTGAACAATTCAAATGGGTTTTACCATCTGATTTTTAAGATAATGGTGAAGAAGATGGAAAAACTATAAGATTTTGAAGTAAATTTGCATGTTTCTGTATGGAATTCAAAGATTTCTATTGTATCAGGTAACTGAATAACTAACTGCACCACTAGAATGGCATCTTCCTATCAAACCCTCAAAAGACAGGTGTCTAGGTCTCTGCTGCTGTTATTACTGAAATTGTACAAAAAAATAGCAATCTTGAGTTGCTAGCATACACCAACACCCACATTAGCCAACGCACGGGTGTGGGTGTGTTTATGTAAGCGGATGTACAAAAATCCCCTGAAAAAATAAATCAAAACCTTTCTGCAACCCCAGCCAAAATTTTTTAGCTTTCTTTCTGGAAACACAGAAAGTAGGTCAGCACAGATCCCAAAATAGCGCATCAGCACTGAGGGAAAAAAAAAAAAAGCGTATCTGTATCTTTGGACTTTTAAGCTCATTTCTCTATAGGGGGGAATGGAGAATTAAGGCCTTTCCCTTATTCTACTATATGGAAGAACATGCACAATACAGAATTGGTTAATTCCTACACTTGAGGCCCCAGATCAACCATCCATACAGGGAAAATGTTAACCATTTTAATCCAAGCAAAAAAGTATTGATTTGAACCATTTAAGCTTTATCTAAATATAAGCATGGGAAAAGTCAGGAATCTTAAAAGGTGTTTAAAATGTTGTGCTGGCTATGTATCACATGCTGTTCCTTGTACATTTTGTTCCTTATATCAAAAACCTATTTGGTAAAATATTTACTTTGGAAATAAGGGACACACTTTCTGTGATTTTGTTGTTCATCTTGTGACTTTTTTTTTTTAAAGTATTTGCTGTTTCAACAAGAATTGTTGCCTATTTTGTGATACCTTACATGCTATGCGTACTCCTAAACAAAAAATATTTTCTTTAATACCAGATGCATGTCTCCCAATATTCCCCCCCCACACTTTTTCTTTATTTTTAAGGAGGTAAAAGGCATACACATAAAACAAATAATTTAAACACTCAGCTTTCACATGTTTACAGCTGCAGAGATTCTGAAGAGCTCTTTTGGGTTTAATATTGCCAATCTCGTTCCATGAACTATTACAGTACTTAACATGAAAAGAAAAACAAAAAACATTATTAATACTAATTAGGAATGATGCACATCAATCCTAAAAATATTATTTACCTTGTTCAAGTCAATACCAATATTGTTGGCTACAACATGATGAATGCCAATCTGTTTCCCAGAACACTCATTTTTTTAATTAGGGAAAAAATGATGTTGCCTCCCCCAAATTCCAAGCGTCAGGCTTCATTTGGATCCCTGTACTAGTTTAAAATGACTGTTTGAAAGATACTGAACATTTATAAGTAAGACCTTTTAAGCTCAGTGATTTTTATGCAACCAGCAGGAAACTAAAAATAGCAAAAAAATTTTTTTTAGTTCTTCCTTTTCTTTCTTGTTTTTTAAACTACTGGTCTGTGTGTGTTTCACCTCAGTTCTCGGACACCTAGCATTTCCCCTGCTTCAGTCCAGACCTGTTTAAAAATCTCATCCACCAGCTTTTGATCTGCATATTAAAGTACTGTAATCCATGGATATATGTGTTCAGCTTAGGCAATTGCAGAATTGGACTCCCAGGCTGTAACATTTTCAAAGCCTTTCCAAAAAAAGGAGACTGAAGAGAAGAAAAACCTTTCCAAATGTACAGCTGCTAGGATCTGCATTTTTATTTTACACTCAATAAACCAATGCTTGCTATCAGAAGTAAAATAAAAACTGAGAGGCTCCAAAATTAACTGAGTGAAGAAATGATGGATTTTATCAAACTTCTAAAAATTAAGTCAAAGCACTAAAATAAAATAAAATGGTTGAGTTTTCATGTCCTAGAAGGCCTCCACCTTGCATGGTTTTAAGACTCTAACCTAACAAACAAAGCACATAACTGAACACATTTAATTGCATTCCTAGATTACTGCCAGATAGCTTGTCACATGCCTCGGTGGGTCTCCGTAGACAGTTCTCAGTCTTTACTTCCAAAAGCCAGAGACACTGAATTGATTAAGTTTAGTTAGAACTGGACAAATATATTCCTAAAAATGTCATCAGACCAAACAAATCTGATCCTAGAGCGGAATTTTCTAACACAACATTAAAATAAATAAGAGGAAATAAGGCAATCGTATTTATGGGTAGCAACAGATACAATCACCCCTAGTATTCTCTTGCTGATGTCAGCAATGTCATTCTCCAAAACCTGCAGGAACATATGGAAAGATAATACCAACATTCATCAGACTTCATTACTACTATTTTTTTCTGATACGTAGCATTATTACCAGTGTAATTAAATAACAAAAACACTGTTCTAGTTAAATGGAACCAAATAATTACCTCCATGCACTAAGATTTTCTCTAAATTGTAAAAGACAGATTTCACAAGAGCACATCAAGTCAGTTGGTCTCATCTCCCTTTTAGCAAACAAAGGCCCATTAATATGTTTGCATGTTCATGTAACTCCAACTCTGAGTTTGAGGACATTTACAAGACACCTGCTGTGTCTTGTAAATATGCCAAATCTTGTAGATACCAAATTTGTATTCATTGGTGTAGGAAGGCTGCTACCATAGGATACTATTTCCACTTAGAATCCACTAACTGAACTGCTGAGAGGTTTTACCTTCTTAAATTGATTTGTGAAGGAGAGGAATTAGTGCACTCAGTTCTTTCAAGGTGCAGTAAAGCAGGTAAACTAGTCTAGAAATGATCAAATCTAATCTTTATTGAGTTTGCCTAACTGGAACATAGGAGGTCCTAGAATTACAGTCGAGAGGTAGTCTAGGAGACGGCGCTCATTTCCCAGCTGAGAGCCCATAATTGCATATAGTTGTACATTTCCAGACCAGAGTCATGCATTCCCTTCTGGCTCACATGGCACAACGATACGTGCCCAATCTTTTGTGTAGAACACTGGTTTCCTACTGTGACTGCATTATTTTGTTATGGATTGGACGTCTCCTTTATACCCTCCGGTGACTGACACATGAATTTCAGCACGCTACAATGGTACACCAGGTTGAAAATGCACACGCTGCTGCAGAGATCTGACTTTGAGCCCTACCACAAGTCAGACTGAACTTACAGACTCAGCCATATGGAGCCCTTCTCTTGTCAGCATGCATGTACGCAGCCTTCCTGCAAGAACAGCTCATATCTAGGCAACAAAAATCCCCTGCTTCATAATGGCCATGTAGGTCTGGAACACATATCACACATATACAGATCTCTGTACTCATAGGTATATCCGTCTGCTTGTTTTGGTCTGCATTGTCTTGGATTAAAAATAATAAACAACAAAAAAGTATATTGAATAATAAATAATATAATTGTCCCAACATACTTAAAGCCATGATCCAGAAATCTCAGTAAGCCAAAATGGAAAGCTCTGTATTTAAGCAATCAACAAAGAACAAAAAACTACTCAGACTGAAAAGTCTCTGGCCTTGTCAAGTGCCTTTGTAGTACTGCTCTTTAAAAGCATAAGAAAATAATTCACTCTTAGTGGAACACAATTGGGAGCACCATGGAAGCCAGTACTCCAGAAAAAATACTGCTAACAACATAATTTTCTGTGACTTACAGCTAATTAACTGACTCCATGAAATCTTATTTTTTATACGACAGAAGGACTAACTAGAGCTTAATAATGATAGGTTAAAAACTACTGGACCTTTTAGTAGGAAAAAAATGTTTGGTTTGTTTAAGAGAAAGGAGGCTGATGAATTTCTGCTGATGTTGTTTTCTATTTTTCCCCTGGTTCCTTGAGATATAAATGCACATTGGCAATTGCACTTATTTCAGATACTTATTAAGTGTATGTGCAAAATGCTTACTCATCTATTTTCAAAAGCATCAGTATTTACAAAAGCAAATACAGCCAACATTTGTCTGTTTGGAATTTCAGTCCCAGGAAGGCTTTAACAAAACACTTGCACTGTATCACACTAATTAAAAACCACAAGTTTCTTCAGCTCCTGGTAACAGTTTGCAAACTTTCACCGATGTTATGGCAATGAGTTTATAAATACTTGTAGCATAATCTCATGCTGCATGTGATGGTCTTAACACGAGTTTGTAATTCATATTTAACTTGAGTCCCTAAGAATAATCACCCAAGTATTTGTCACTGCCAAATACTTACATTCACATACACAATCCTTTTCATCAAGAACCATATATGCAAGCTTCCAAATCTCAATAGGCATAATGTTTTGCATTTTCCACCTATTCAAAACATTTTTAAATATTTACTGAAAAATGGCTAATAGTTGCCACATTAAGAAGTAATAGTTGCACAGTAAGAAGTGAATTTTGTTGTTTTACATGTATAAATGCATTATGATTCTTACTAACAAAAATCTCATGTAGACTCAGGACGCCTAAAAACCTAAAACAAAGCCTTACCTTTCCTTGAAGCAACAGTTTCCAGTAGCGATCTGTCTTAATGCTTTAATTTTTGCAGTGTAGTTTCCATTAATAGTTTTCTAGTTCAGGAAGAGATGGGTTAATTGCAAGCAGTATGGATGCTGTCTTGCTTGCTTCCTGGAGATCACTGTTCTGCATTGTGCACCTGTCACAACTACCTAGGGAAAAAAACACAGTCATGTTAAACCTCAGTCACCTGGACAACATGATATATTACTACTGGAAGTATAGAATACAAAGAATCAATGTCTTAAAATGTAACCTTAAAATTGTATTTATCTACCACATATTTCATAATAAGTGCTGTTAAAAGAATTATTGCATACTTTCTTACCAGGAGTTCATCCTCTTGACATAAACAGACATAAAACAAGTGGAAAACACTTATATACAAATACTGTAAGTTATTTAAATGACAACCTGCCTTTAGTACTGACAATATGAACTAGACTTTTTTTTTTTAATTTTTCTTGTGGATTTCTGGTCAGAAGCTGCAAGCAACAGCAGAAACTGAGTTATGCTGTACTTCCTTAGGCATAAGTAAATAAACTGCAGCCTTTGAAAAAACAAAAATGTTGAGAGTAGGAATCTACTTCTGTTATTCATAACTGCAAGGTCACTATTAGAACTATACATGGATGATATTTTTATTTGGTGCAATTAATAGGCATCTAGCAGTCAATTTTTAAATTCAGTTTAATATCATCTAATACCACCTGCACCACATGTGTGTTCAAAACCACTGGCAGCACATCTGGGGACCACACTTTGGAGAGCTGTACTGTGATGATGTTCATCACGGACAAGGAGCCCATAATGCAGGCATTATCAATCCAACACAGATTTAGCTACTACGAGGACAGTTTGAATGCTACACAGATCTGTGACATGAGTAAGACATCTCATTTGCTTCCAAAAGCGAAGTGCCTAGGAGACAAAAGTCTCCCATTTAAATGGAGGTATCTGTATTTTGAGGAAAATACTTAGAAGCCCAGAGCACGTTTGTTTTCTTAGTGAGTGAGCCAGCAATCTGCTTGCATCCATCCTTCCACAGGCTCATAGAACAAGCTAGATTGGAATGCACCTCCAATGAATGGACCTCCAATGGTTTTCTCATCCAATCTCCTGCTCAAAGTTGGGCTCACTTCTGTATGAGATCCAGTTGCTCAGGAACTTGTCCAACGAAAGGATCTGTTAAAGCATTTCCAAGGACAGAGATTCATAACTTTAAGGACGACAACCACAGTGCAGCCAGAACAGCCTCTTGAACAACGGATCTCCACCCAAGTGTCTACATCCATGGCAGCCAACAGGACAGTCCAGCTCCAATGTTACTTGACCTGTTCAGCCCAGAGAAATGCCTGACTGGGTGCTTCATTTAAAGATCTGATTCAATATTAATAAATGAGAGTCTGTTTTCTGCTATCTCATAAGGCAGTGTATTACAACGTGTTTTCTCTCCTCACCCTTCCCCTAACAACAGAAGCCACCCCCACTACTTCACATTACATTATTAAAGAGCTTAAATATGTTTATTTCTCTCTCTTTTGTGATTTTTTCCTTCTGGATAATCCTTTGCAATTGTCTTCCACAAAAACACGATTGTATCTTTCCCCACATCTTAAGAAGCACTCCTGTAAGTCTGGATAATTCTCTTGTTCCTTCTCTTCTTCCACATTTATCATTAACAATTCAAGTTTCCTGAATGCTCAGAATACCATCAGACCCTGGCAGCTGAGTCAAAAGTCACAGAAACAGAACAGTAATGGCTCAGATCTGCACTGTCAAAGTTTCTGCAAATTTTGCTCTTTTCGTGTGTTACCCTCGAGCTCTATTTAAGGGTAAGGCCCCAATGTCTGGATGCTTTTTTTCTTCTGGTTTTGAAAAATGAGAACTGACATAAAGTAGATCTGACAGGTTCCTGTAACTACTCTAGTTCCTCATCTCCCTGCTGAGAAGTCCATTCACGTCTGTGAGACACTGTCAGAGACGGATTCGATTTTTGCACAAAAATGGGTTATTGAGTTTTAAACCAACCAAAAAATAATCCCAATAAAATGGAACAGTTTGGGTTATCTTTAATATGACATTGGATTTGATCTGTCATACATCACATCTGTGTAATAATGTGCCTCTCGTTTATTAAAAGCAATCACCTGCTTTTGCATATCCGTGTGATAAATGGCACTTTTCAACCTTTTGCAGCCTGAAGCCATTACCTGTCGCTTTGTGGGGAGGAGGAGGAGGGTTTGGAGGAAAGCAAGGGAGTGCTTTCCGTAACAGACTCTCAGGCAGTGTTGTAAATACTGACTTTCATGGCCATGCTTTGCTTCAAAGAACAGGGGCAAGCTGAATCAAGCAGTCTCCAGCCAAAAGTTACAACCATGTGCAGACACACACCACCCTTTCAATCCAGTATATAAAGGGCACAGTCTCCTTCACAACCAGTGCAGAAACCAGACCCTGTGTAAGGATAAACAGAAAAATGGGCACATTGAACTAGAGTACAGCATGGATATAAATGGTTTAAATGCAAAGTATTGCACAACTTTGCCATACATTGTCTAACTTTTTGTTTGTATAAATTAAAGGGATTATTGGCAGTTACACTGGGCACAACTTTATCTTCTGAAAAAAATCAGGATTTTCATTTTTTTACTGTTTTTAAAGGTAAAGAAAAGTAATAAATGCTCTAGGTGGGTACATTTTTTTCTTTTAGGTATTACTTCTTAAAGGACATTTCTGAAATAATCTTTGTAATATAAAATCAAATTCAAAAGTTTACTGGAAATTATGGCATTAAGTTCACAGAAAATGCAGTGAACACACTACATTTCGCAAAAAACTTACAGCTGTACAGTAAAACATCCCAAAACAAGGCGGTTTGTCAAAATACACGTTATTCTGCTGAAATTGAAATCAGTTGTGAAGGCAACAGCTGCATCACTTCAGCACCCTCTGTTGGCCACCTTGCAACATGTAACTTTGTGTACTCAGAAGTGTCATTTGTTTTTGTCCTTAAGCTATCACAAAGAGACTTTTATACAGAAACATATACTAAAAGCAAGCGAATAAATAAATAAATGATCCCCTCTCCCCACAAAAAAAAATAATCCAACCCTACTGAAATAAAAGCTTGAAATACACGGCACAAAGTTGCTTGCTGACACTATTCAGTGTTGCTGGATGCGTCGTGCATTAGCCCATCTGGTATTTCTGATAGACACTACGCGGCACCTCACGTGCAGCTCCCACCCATACAAACGGCAGAAATGACAGAAAGCACAACGATTTTTCTGGAACAATTTTTTATGGTGGCAACTGAGAACTTCGAATAGATACGTTATGGAGACCAGCGCCCTCAAAACAAAGTACTCGAAGCCCGTAGTCATCGAGCACGCAGATAAATACAAGTCCAGATGCCAGATACAAGGTGATCTAAATATAAACGCTGCATGCGGCGCTGTGGTGAGCGGCCAGATGGTGCAGCTTCCAGAGGCTGAGGCCCTCAGGCCCTCGGCCCCGCAGCTGCCTCACAAAGCCGGCTCAAGGCTTTGCAGCTGTGCGGCTGCTCTGGGGGCCACAGGGGAAGGAGGGTGAAGCAGTGGGGCTGGGATGGAGAAGTGGTGTCCACTGGACTGGGGGAGGAAGGGGGGTTGTGGGCTGCCCCTGAGCAAAGCCACCCCAGGGGCAAGCGGGGTTGCTGTGGCCATTTTGGCCTCTCCACTGGCAGGGAGTGGAAAGCAGCCCGTGCCCGGCTGTGCTGAGGAGAACCATTCTGCAGTCCTTCAACCTACTGCTCGAGTCACTACCTACAGCTCAATCCTCTCACCTAGTGCTCGAGTCACTACCTACAGTCAGTCCTACAACCTCCTGCTGGGGTCACAACCTACAGCTCAATCCTGAACCCAACACGGACCAGAATTCAAACCAGAATTAACAGAAGAGCTTTTCCCAGCTGACCTTAAGGTTAACGGCATTTCTAAAAGTGAACTTTTCCCTGTCATCAGCTATCACAACCCTTCTCCTAATGCCGTCTCTCAACTTTGCATCTTCAAGTTTCCTCTACAGTTTCTTCTACGGTTTCTTTATCTGCTTAGTTTTGTTTTCACAGCATCCTGTCTGCCTCCCATTACTTCACCACCCATCCAGGCCCTCCTCTCTGCTTCTCTCCTTCCCCACGTGCAGCTTCACATGATTCTCTCCTAATATTTCTGTGTTTATCAACTTTAAAATGGCATTAATAAAAACCGATGGTCAGATAATACTCTCCAGAGCACACTGAAATGCACACAAACTTTTTCAAGGAAATTTGCAGTACTGTTTGTGAGAAAGCTTTCCTAGCCTATTTCAAATATTTACACGCACACTTCTACTTTGTGTAGGTTATATTTTACCACTTAACGGGGATGGAGAAATCAGTTTGGCTTGGAACGTCAAGATCTCAGTTATTAGAGTCAAATATTTATTGCACAGAAGAAAACTGAAACGATTTCAGGAAATCTGCGCAGTTCATTTGAGGCCATCAAGCAGTCTGGAAGCCAGAGGTGAACCCAAAGTGAATCCACATCCACAAACCTCAGAACTGAAGAAACGCAATCAAGCATTTGCAATTCATGATGTTATCACCCGTTTTCAGCAGTTATTATTTTGTCAGGTATTTTCAGGCACTCATATTCCTGCTTTATCCTGCTGGTAAACATTTCTTTTTTCTTTAGCTCTTTTGTTATTTTAAAACAAATTTATCCTTTTTTTTTCCCCATCTGATTTCAAACAGTAAACATTAGAAATTATTTTCTTTAAAACTTGGCTGCTCGCTAGCTGGCTGGTTAGGGCTGCAGCAGCCTGCTCAGTACCAGGTTTCTTACGCAATGGGGTTCATACACCCAGCAACTCCAAGGGTGGGGTTCAAAGCAGCAACTGCACCACTCACATTTTGCAACTAAAAGCGAGGGAAAAAATGAAAAAGAGATGCAGGAACTGGTGAGTACAAGGGGAAACACTGTTTTTCTGAATCAGAAATATAACTTTTTCTTTTTTTACTAAAAAAAAAAAAAAAAAAAGAAGGTAAAAAGCAACACAGAAGAACAAATCAAAGGCAGCTAAAATATTTCCCACCCAAAGCTGTAATTAGTGCTGAGATCACAATATGATAATG